CGGATTACAAATTCTACGAATTTTGTTGTACTAGATGCTAGTCGAAGTGTCTTGGAACCACCTATTGCGAGAGAAGAGGGTACTCAAGTTATGGCAGAGCAAGCTGAGTCAGATCAGCAGTTTACCTCCATCGAAGATCCACCTATTGTTCACACAAGACTACATCTTGCACATGATTGGCAGGTTTATAAATCTAGGAAGAAGAAAAAAAGAATGTCTGATCTCAGTAACTCTCAGGATGACTGTATCATTGTTTCGCGATCGCGGCTCGGTCTAAGTAAGCCTTCGATGTCATCATCTCATTCCTTCTCGTTCTTCCCTTTGATTTCTTCTTCTTTCCTCGAATAGGGCACGATAATTTCTCTTCTCGCTGGATCTTTCCCGCCGCCTCCTGCTCGATGATAAGAATGGGGAGACAATCGAAAAAGAGAAATATGTCCATCTGAGAGGATGCATCTCTCCAAACAGCTACACCTCTTATTATTATTTAATTATTTATTTTATTATTATTATTATTATTTTGATTTTTGTTATTACAGACTTCTCATAAAGAGAGTTGACCATGATTAATGGTGAAAATTAGACCAAAGGAAAGCTTCAGGTATTTGAAGCATCTTATTGCTTGAACTAGAAAACTAACTAAAATTGTTCCAAATCGTGAAGACATTTCTAAAGGGAAAGGAAAAAATCCAACACCTTGTAGATTTACTTACGGAAGTCAAAGACCCATAGTTCCTACTTTAAGAATAAATTGATTTCATGATTACAATATACTTGTGGAACATCATCAGCAGGTCTTTTATGCTTTTCATCACCACAAAAGAGGTTTGGGATGTAGTTAAAGAAACCTACTTAAAGATGAAAAATATTGCTCTCGTCTATAGAATCAAGATGATGTTTACCACTAGAAACAAGATAACTTCATACCATTGAATACTTTAATTTTATGAAGGTTTACTAGCTATATTTGGATTAATAACAAAATCTCAAGATGTCCTTTGAAGATGAGGTGGTTCTTACAAATTTTGTGGAGCAAAAAAAAATTGAGTTTTTTGGTAGAACTCAATTATGAATATGACCAAATTCGAATCTATATCTTAAGCAGAGAAAATATCCATTCTCTAAATGAAGCATTCGATCTTGTATGAACTAAAGATGAGAAAAAATGGTGATGATCAATAGCTCATCCCTCGAGATATCTATCACAACTTTTGAATCCAAATATAAGGGACTTTCTGTCCCAGAACATCCTCCAAAACTATGACAAAAATGTTCTTTCAAAGGCGGTCACCGGTGCAACAACTACAAAAAAAAATGGCAAAATAAATAAACAAATAATGAAATTTTCATGAAAAATCCAAAGGCTATGAAGAAAAGATGTAAATCAAAAGGGCAGGCCTACTTAATGAGGCTAGAATGCCTCAATTCAAAAGAAATTGAAACATTAAGGAACTTTCCCAATTCCTTAGTAATGTCACCACGATCTTACTCTCTTGTTTAGATCAGTATAATTTCTAATTATTATTCTCTTCTTGGCTCTAATAGTTCGTTCGTTTTTTTGGATCCAAGATTCAAGAGTCACAGACCACATGACAAACATTTTTAAAGTATTGCAAACTTACAAACCATATCCCATAAAAAAATAAAATAGCAAATGATTATTTAACAAATTTTGCAATACTAGGAGACAATTTATCCCAACTTAACATTTATATTATATGACTCGCACTAAGCAATTAGCATTTTATCTATACACAAATTTACCAAAAGACCACAAGTAAAAAAATAATCCTTTTTACTAATTATTATATTTTTCAAGAGGAAGACAATCTAGAAAAAATAATATCTTCATGATCGAGATCAGCTATCATACTCTTTCACCTCACAAGCCACCAACATCATCTAGACACACCAATATTGATTAAAACATCATTATTTTAGGAACCTTCACAGGATATTTCCTTCTCAATTTATAAATAAAAAAAATCAAACAATTTTACATGAAACTTGCAAAATTATTAAATATTATCATGTTTCATTTCCTAAATGCAACTTCAGATCATTATATTGATTCATTCTGATATTTAAGGGCCCTCCAAAAACCCAATATCTTTGGAGCCACTAATTTTATCATATTTATTGATGGTTGCACTCGAATGACGTGCATATTTAATTAAATAAAAATTTGATATTAGCACCATACTCCTTACATTTGTTGTTAGGATAATGAATCAACCTAACTGTAATGTCAAAAATTTATAGATTAATAATAAATGTGATCATTTTAATCATATATTTGCATCCTTTTAAAAAGAGGATGTTATCTATCATTTTTTCTACCCTAACACCACTCAACAAATGGAATGATATAAAAGAAAAATGGTCAAATTTTGGAGGTGACAGAAAAACTTCTCCACAATCAAGTATCAAATTAATATTGGGAAGAAGTTATTCTAATAACTACATATTTAAACATCAGAATACCTTTTCGAGTAATTGATTTCAAAATGTCCACTAAATTATTTGTTAGAATTCTTTCCTACATATAATTTCTAAAAAATCCCTCCAAAATTTTTTGGATGCATTAATTATGTTCAAATCCATAAACAAAATAGAGAAAATTTTGATCTAAGAACTCTAAAGTGAGTATACTGCATATTCTGCTACACAAAAAGGATACAAATGCTATCATTCAACCATAAAAAGTTTTGACACTTCAATAGATGTTATTTTTTAGGAATTCCATAACTTCCCACTTAAACTCATCTTCAAATGGAGAATTTTCAACATGATGACAAGTTTGATGATATTTTCCATTTAGGCATATACAATAAGAAAAAAGCCCAACAAGAATTCCAATAAGTCCAAATCTCGGCACCGTTACCAAGTCACACCACATAGCCATTATCACTCATATATATCATATTTCTTAGTGTATATCATTTCATAATTTTTTTTTTCTCACAAATTATTTCTAACCAACATCAACATCAACCCTACTTTCATTCTATAAACTCTATTTGAAGCACTTGAAAATAATTCGGAAGGAAGTCATGAGAAAAGAGATGAATACATTAAGAAAATCATCCAAGAGAGACCGTTGAATTACAAAAAAAAAGGGCAGTAGAATGTAAATAGATTTTCAAAATCAAATATAAAATAGATGAGAGGCTAGAAAAGTATAACTGTATAAAACAAGATTGGTAGCAAAAAGATATATTCAATTATATGGGGATTGATTTCATGAAATATTTGTTCTTGTTGCAAAAAATGAATATTATTTGCAACAAATCATGAGTGACCCATACAATGATATTAGGTAAAATATAATTTCATAAATAGAGATGTTGAAGAAGAGATCTATCTAGATTCACCACCAGGATTTGATAGTTTTTTTCTTAAAAAAAATCAATTATGCAAATCAAAAAGTGACTTATATGGACTAAAACAATCATTAATAGCTTAATTTGATATATTTGCAAGGGTTATAGAAGGAGATAGTTACAAATAGAATCAAGGAGATAATATTCTCTTCATAACACAATCTTCTGATTGTAAAATCTCAATTCTTATTATATATTTTGATAATATGATTGCTACAGGAGATAGCAATAAGAAAAAAACTCTCAAGAAAAAGCTTGTTGAAGAATTCAAAATCAAACAATTAGAAAGCCCCAATATTTCTATTAAATAGAAGTGGTTGAATCTAAATAATGGATATTTCTCTCTCAACAAAAATATATTATGGACCTGTTGAAAGTGACCATGATGGTAGGCACAAGTCGTGTAAAAATTCAATATAACAAAGGCAAAAATTGAACATTGATGAACAAAGGAATGATATAGATATAAGATAATATCAGAGGTTAGTAGGAAATCTAATCTACTTGTCCCACACTCATCCTAACATCGTATTTATAGTAAGTCTAATCAATCAATTCAAGTACAAAATTAAAGAGTCGCAGCTTCAAGTTGCCTGTACAATCTTCATATATCTTCAATCAAGCCCAAAAAAAGATTAAACAAAAGCTATAATGCCCTATAAATTGAAAGATACACAAATGCAGACTATGCTAGGTTACCGATGGAGAGAATGTCTACTTCAAGGCATTGTATATTCCTAGGAATAAATCTCATAACTTAGAAAAGCAAGAAAAACCTACAGCTTCAAGATCAATGCTGAAGCTAAGTTTTAAGTCATTACTGATGAGATCTGTGAGCTTCAATGGATCAAAATCATATTAAAATATTTAAATATCATCATAGAAAGAGCCTATAAAAAAATAATTACAATAAATTGGTCATAGTAATACACACAATCCTTTATAACATGACAGTATCTAGCAGGTTGAACTTCATAGAAATTCAAAAAAAATGGTCATTAGTAATACACACAATCCTTTATAACATGACAGTATCGAGCAGGTTGAACTTCATAGCAATTAAAAAAAAAAATAAAAAGTGGTTTGATTTGTACTTCATATATGCCCACAAGAAATCAGTTTGCCAAAATATACACCAAAGGACATTACAGCCCAACATTTAAAATAGAATACGCGAACTTTGAATGGTAGATCTCTATCATCTAGTTTGAAGGGGAGTGTCGAAATTCTGCTATTCTACTCATATCAAAGAACTTAAGGCACACAAATCAAAGCTTTGTATTGTTGAATCAATTTCTTTATGATCCTCATATTGCAATCTATATGCTTTCCTATGAGATCGCCAGCTCCGAATTATTTTTCCCTCCATTTTTGATTTACTCATATTTTGTAATACTTTCACTCATTACATAATTCAAAAAGTTTAATGATCTAAACTCACCAGTGAACCAGAAGCATTCAATAGCAATTTAAAAATCATATTGAAAATAAAAAGGTACTTATTTGATTATCTTTTCCTAACATCATCAGAAATGAATAGGTAGCTGAACAGGATTTGTTCTAAGAACTACAAAACTGATACTAAAATATATGCAGAAAAAGTCATGAAATATCAACCTGTCAACAGTGAATCCTCGAAAAAAGTAGAAAGTACCCTCCGCAAGTAAAGTGATGGAAGAACCAGGAAAGCCACCAGCATGGTTGGTCCAATAAACCAAAAGACCCTGGACCTTTCCTTGCCCAGGCTAGCTCCAGGGATTTCTCCTCTCCTTTCATATGGAAGGCCATGGAATGAAACAAATCCTGGTTTTCCAGCAGTTCTTTCAACAGGGGGTGATAAAGTGCTTCCTGCGGATTCATCCTCAGCAGTGATTTCCAGTTCTTCTGGTTCCATATTTTCCAGTTTCACTGTAAAATATGTGGACTGATCCTCAGAAATAGCGAAGCCACTCAGCCTCCTTCCCAAAAATCCTATTTTCGATTTTGTGGTCCCTTGTATAATTGGAAATATTTTTTCAATTAAAATCAATGAGAAAGTGATGTAAAATGTTAAGCAAACATCCTTTAAACTTGACATAAACAGTCAGATTTAGAGAGATACCCTTGAAATGGTTTAGCTCCTGTTTCCCATGTTTACAGCCTTCTGCACCTTGTGATCGAGATAACTGGAGAATGCCACAAATTCATGTTTTGTCAACCCAATGTAATTAAGAAGAATATTATGATAGCACATAATGAAACTCAATGCAAAAAGAACACGGAAAGATACAGGTTGAAGGGTACGACTGAATAAATAAATCAGAACATTGTTGACCTCATTTTTTAGGTCATTTCTTTTTTCTTAGGGTCTTAGGATCTAGCTCTAAGAGAGTTCCTATAAGAGTTCCTATTGACCATCTTAGAACACTAGAATTGGGATCCACCCTTTTTACAAATTCCAGTCATTTCCTATTTTCCTGTGAAGTCTAGTATTATGGTCTCAAAACCATCGTCTTATGGACGAGCGGTTAAGGGCTATTGTGCGGAGACTGAGGGAGAAGTTCCCAATAGGATTTCAAGCCCTAGGAAAACCTTGTCAGGACTTTATTGTCACATACACTCACCAAATGCATAAAATTTACAAAATTACACGAGATCGGACTTCAATTGAGCCTAAGGATGGGTGAAAATTCGAACTTCTCCGGACGACCTCTGACTACAAAATGGACTGCGCCAACGCGTTCGGGACATCAATTTTAGTAGGAAAAGACACTCATATTGCCATATTTACGACACGAGAAAATTTGCATGGAAATCGATGAATTCGTCGAAATGACCTCCGACGGCGAAACGGACCGCGACAGCGCGTCCGGAATGTCAAAAATACCTAGAAAGGACATCCATATTCGATATGTTACGACACATGAATAAAACACAAATTCAATTTTTATTTTTCAAAATATTAAAAACTCTTTATAAACTTTACCCTTAAATTATAATTAAATTTAAAACCTAAGTCCTATTTAGGTTTTCACCCGCACTCTCTCCCTCTGTTAGACCCAATCACGGGTTCGAACAGAACTTTTGTGGCTCGCCCCGCTCCCTCTCGCGTCCGTGCCCTAGCTCCACGGAGGATCCCACGCGACGACGCTTCCCCCTCCCGTCTCTTCCCCTTCTCTACGTGGCACGGCAGCCGTTCGACTCTCCAATTGGAGGAGGCGGACTGGCCGACGTTCCTCCTACTCGAGGCTATACGCGCTCCCTCTTTATTATGACTCCTCTTTTCCTCATTTTGATTGGTTGGCTAGGGCGACAAACACGCACTGCTCTGCCATCAATTCAAGGTCATGGCCAAGGTCATCAGCAACACAACAGGGGCAAACCCGTCGTTAACTCTGCATAGCAGTAGTTCACTCAACATTGAGGCAGCAAAACACTTGCCAAATATGCAACGAAGTTGGGTACTCAGTGGCTAAATACTGGTAAACAAACCTATCAAATGAACCCACCAACATTCAGGCTCTACTCTCTAACACCACTCGGACAGACTAAGAATGGCTTCTGGACAAAATACCAACCTTCTTGCATCAAATCAAACTCAAATTCACAAATATAAACAATACTACAGCCATCAATGGCTCATCATCGGAATGGACAGTCTCTCCCCATTGCCCACATCAGCGATGTCCTCCTCCCCACTCCATTTTGTAAGCTAGGTCTCTTCTTACCACATGTTCCCAAATATCCTCAATCTTTTAACAGTCTAAAGACCAGCAACTAACAACTCCTGCTCTCATCAATTTGGCGAAACTGGCAATATCAATAAGAGCAATGGAACAAACAAAAAACTCCTCCAAAGCACATCCGATAACAGACTTCTACCAACTTCGAACAACACTTCTTGCCTCCAAAGCTCTAACTGTCAAAGAGTAAGCAGAAACCACTTGGCACAACCATCTTAATCACCCACAAGCTTCAATACTGCATTGTATAGCAAAATACCAGTCCTCTTTTATGTATTCAGACCACTAAAATCATATGCAACTCCTATCATACAGCTGAAAGTCACAAGTTACATTTCTCCTCCTCTCAAACCTATAACTAGGAAAATTTGGTTGCATACACTTTGATGTATGGGGACTTTTCCCAACCCACTCAATTCAATGATATCGCTACTACATATTATTTGTGGAAAAATATTCTGGTTACAATGAGTTATATTCTATGAATAATAAATCTGAAACTACCATCAAAATCATTAATTTCAAAACAACGGTTGAGCATTAATTACGAAAAGCTATCAGAATTTTTTGCATTGATAATGGGGATTAATATACAAACAAAATTCTCCAAACTTACCTCACTGCTCATAACATAATACACCAGTACAATTGGCCCTACACCCCAAAGCAAAATGGCCATGCTTAATGCAAAAATTGACTCATCCTAGAGGTTTTGCAAGCTGTACAGTTTATAAAAAACCTACCAAACAGCCTCTGGTTTGATATTGTCCTCACAGCAACTCATCTTATCAACCTACACCCCTTCCTCACTACAAGGCACAATTTAACATCCCAATTTGTATACAATAAGATCCCCCAATACAGTTGCTTCAAAACTCTCAGCTATTTGTGCTACCCCTGGTTACAACCATTCTCACCAAAGAAACTGTACGCCAGCTCAATTCCCTCTGCATTCATCAAATATGCATCTCATCACAAAGGCTACAAATGGTTCAATCCAACGACTTAACAAACCAACAAATTCTGCTACATTTGCTTCATTGAAAATATCCCCTCCAGCCGCCGCACATGAAAAGCTGCTAACCCTCCCATATCAAAAACCCAATAATATTCTCCATCACCCACTCTTATACCTTCCTCAGCTACTTAAACAATCCACCAAACCCAATCTCTACACTTCACAAATAAACATAATAACACTCCTAAACATGCCTCCAATTGATCAAATTAACTCTCAAACCACCTCTCCTCTGCCTAACAATCCCCAACCATCAATGCCAAACAAGCCCAACCAACCTCCTCACCATCACAATATGATCTACAGCCTACAAACAGAAAAATTAAAGCAAAAGCACATAGTAGATCTCCATCACACCCTCTCAGTTGTATCACATGACCCTACCTGGCACGTAGGTAACCTTTACACCACAAGAACCACATCTTAACCAATCAACCAATGTGATTGAGATAATCAGACAAGAATAACGTACAAGCCTCTACAAAACGCTTCACCCCCCAAACTAAAACTAACTACAAACAATCAACAAGAATAACCCAATCCACAGCTCTACCACCATCTAGTCACCTCCCTCCAGTACCTAAGAACTGCCCATCCCAACATAGCCTTCTTTTTCTACGAACATCTTCATCAGCCCCCTCAACATACCTTTTTCTCACCTCAAATGACGTCTATGATACATAAAAGACACCATCTCAAAAGGACTCTTGATATACCCTGATACACCAACACTTCACACTTACTCTTGACTCAAACTGAGCAAGCAATTCCAAAGGCAGAAAATCAACATTTGGATACTATGCATTTTCAGCTTGTACACTCATCTCCCGTTGCATCAAGAAACAAACAACTATTGCCCGATCTTTAATCAAAGTTGAATATAGAGCTCTAGCTACAGCATCAATAGATATCATTTGATTACAACGTCTTCCACTCGAATTTCACTTTACCTCCAACACACCCACCCTCTGTACTGTGACGGCATTCAGCACTTGCACTCAACAAACAACTCAATGTTCCACGCTCAAACAAAGTGCATTGAAATAGACTGTCATTTAATCAGGGATTGTGTTAGGTCTAATCACATCACAATCCAAAAATCTCCACTGAAGATCAGCTCGTTGAACTCTTCACCAAATCAATGCCAGCCAATCTTGCCTGACCATCAACTTGAAGGGAGGTAATATCTGTATTAGAGTGAGATCACTCCCAATAATAGAAGCTGTGACCACAACATTGCACGATCTATAATCCCTTAATTCCAGCCATACAGGAATAACATAATGCATATTTATTGTTTTATCTCCTGGTTCTCTAAAAAAACTCATGAATACTCTAGCCTAGATATACCACTCACAACATCCTATATATTTGTCTCTTCCCAGCTTATACTATGCTTTGCTTCTATACTCTTTTATACCTTTTTTTTATTTTGACTTCAAGGATTAGACCCCATATGGGCTATTGTATGCCAACACAAGCACACATCGAGAAATGCAGGAATGGGTCAGATACCACAAGCTCACAGTAAGAGCTCCCAATTGAGACCACTTTTTAATTACACTTGAAAGTTTTCATCAGCAAGAAGAGGAACTACTAAGAAGAGTAATAACAAATTTACTCTTTATGGAGAGTAAACAAGATCAAAGTTGATCTATAATGCAATGGAAAAGCGCAGTGAAACAAATATATGGCATAAAGAACTCAACTAAAAATGATTCCTTCAGCTGCGAATCTACTCTTAGCATTTTGGCAGACATATATACTACAAAGATAGTTTAAACCTAAGATATTATATATCAATAAACAAATTAAATAGACAAAATATAAAAATCCTAAATGAAGACTTCAATGAATCAATCCAAGGACAAACCTCTTCATTTCACAATCACCTAAAGTAATAAAAAATGCAACATCTCTCCACATAGAGTTTTAAGACAAGGAATTAACAAAAACTAAAAACTGCAGGACATAAAACAAATTTAACCCTCAACCCAGCATATTAATATTATTTTCAGAAACCGAATGAAAAGAAGAAATGTTATTGCATGCTGTATTATGTTTAGCTTTTTTCTTATCGAAGAACTCGGGTTTGACAATAAGAGAATCAGAAGGTCTTAATAAAGATATTTGCCTTCAAACTTCTACGAAGAGAAGCAGTGGTGCAGAAGACAGAAGAGCAGGTGAAGATAGACGAAGGCGTCACTGAGACCGCCATGAACAGTTTTAATCCGGGCTAAAGTCCGACTGAGAAGTTCAAAATCAACATTTTTTGCACATTTGAAAGCGAACTAACTGAAACCTAGAGAATGAAAGAGACTAATTTAGGAAAATTGCGAGCAAGGAGTAAAAAAACGAGAAATTTGAGGTCTTTTTTTAGGGGAATTTCCATTCTATGCAGGCTTGGGGCCTTCGACGGGGATGCCAAACTAGGGCGCATCGTGACCGTTGAATACGGGCAATCACCTAAAATCTCATGATTATCTTGGGTAGTTTATGTATGATTATTTGGAATATTATTACCATTATACAATGCTGATATGTATATGGATATAATTTCTTATATATTTGATGTATATATGTATCCCATAGAAATACATTTGAGGACATGAATCTTAATAAATTTAAATGAAATAATTTTCAAATTTAAATTCATAATTATTTGAGCTTCAATTTCAAAAACAATTTCAAAAAATTTATAGACTGATTGAACATCAAACAAAAAAATAAGATCAACACTAAAATCACTCCAATCAGACCCTAACTAAGCAAAAATTAAGCACTTAAAATATAGATGGAATCTTCAAAATATTAATTGAAGATCAAATAATCTCCAAATTCAGCTATTTATAGATAAATTGAGTGTCTCTTGAGAGAAATCTAACATACATATGATATTCAATTTTGAGGCAATTAAGAAACATAAGAAAATTTTTAGAATAATATGATATACGGAATTAATACCGTTTGATAAATTGTTTTGAGATATTAGCAAAATTTATTGAAATAACTCTTTTAATTCTCTATAAATAGACCCTTATGCTCCACATGATGAAAGAGACAAATTTGAGAGAGAGCTTGGAGATTTTATGAGTTGTAAAATTTTGACAGCAACATTCATCAATAATTTTAAGTTTTTGGCATCCTACCAACACCTTAAACCATCATAAACCATCTTCCACCTTTTTAAACTCTATTACAAGTATAGAAGATAAAGTTTTGAGCATATCACTTCATAATCTCATCTTCTCTGGTCAAGAGGAGGAAGAATTTTATAATTATTATCATATAATGTATTAATTCATCGAGCCAAGCCCGTTGTTTTTATCTTCTTTGCTTTCCATGTAAATATTTTTGTCTCCTGTAATTTTTTTCATTTTTTGTGCTTATGTGTGGCATCCTTGGGAAACTATGACGTAAAACTCACACTTTTATCGTGATTTCTTCAGCATGCAATAGTTTGTCATCGTCTATGAATGTGATTCCCAAAATATTAAAAATACTTCTTGGTTAATTTACTATCAATTTCTCAATCAAGAAGAAGATTTTATTCTGCTTTTGGAGTATATTATCCGACGAATGAAAGAGCATAAATCAAATATTTCAGCTCTTAATGGCAACTAGCTAATAATTGTATTATCATAATATGATTAAAATTGTCAATCACAAAATTAAAAACAAAATAGATTTGACTAGGTTGAGGAAACACCTGTGAAATCTCCTCTAGCCAAATGCAATGCTATTAATATTGTTTGTTCAACTAATCATTTTCTTGGTGCTCGACTAACTCACAACTCTAAGCTATTAAGAGAAGTCTTTATTAGAGGGCTCCATCTTGAGTCTTTCTACTTTGTGCTAATGCAAGATTTAATTTGCTCAATGTTGATCTCATCATTCATGCAGAAGTGCAAATCATTGTCGATGAAGCAATCAATGTACATCAAAAATAATTTGAATAATCTTATAGCGAACAATGAGGTACATTTAAAGTTAGAAAAATCTTCCAAAGAAGAAAGCAAGAGAATTCAAAATCAAAGACATTTTTTTTATTAGAACTAACTGAAACATCTAATTATATTCCATTAAATATATCTAAGACTATTATTTTAATCTTGATTTAAAATTTTAAGCATCATAACTTGCTAAAGCCACTATTAATCTAAATGGTGGAGATCATGCTCAATATTATCACTTTTGTCTTTCCAATGGAGATTCAATGAAAATATGTAATCATTTAAATGAAGAAATTGAATGTTTCGTGTGCCAAGATTATCTGGTTCGTTACTTTTAAGTAGAAAAAAAATTTGACTGCCTTAAAATAAAAGAGATTACAAGAATTGTTATAAGAAAATTATTTGAGCAATTAAATATGAAGTGCCACCAGAATATGGTTCACAAGAAGATCTTATTATTAAATTAAGGCTAAAAATTTTGAGCTATTAACTGAAATTAAGTATAAAGTTCGCATCTTTTTAAATGCTAAAGATTTATCATTCAAATAAGTTTTTATTATCAATGAAGTTTTTTTTATATATAAATAACATTGTCTATTATAAACCCTTTGAAGTCAAATCTAAGTGATAACATTGGATTTATCTAACTTTTTAGGAATTTTCTAATAAAAAAGAGAATCACTCAAAGAATAATTTCAGAGATTCTCCTCTAAGGCTCATCAAACTTGATTGGTAGATAGTAAGCTATTAAGAGAAGTCTTTATTAGAGGGCTCCATCTTGAGTCTTTCTACTTTGTGCTAATGCAAGATTTAATTTGCTCAATGTTGATCTCATCATTCATGCAGAAGTGCAAATCATTGTCGATGAAGCAATCAATGTACATCAAAAATAATTTGAATAATCTTATAGCGAACAATGAGGTACATTTAAAGTTAGAAAAATCTTCCAAAGAAGAAAGCAAGAGAATTCAAAATCAAAGACATTTTTTTTATTAGAACTAACTGAAACATCTAATTATATTCCATTAAATATATCTAAGACTATTATTTTAATCTTGATTTAAAATTTTAAGCATCATAACTTGCTAAAGCCACTATTAATCTAAATGGTGGAGATCATGCTCAATATTATCACTTTTGTCTTTCCAATGGAGATTCAATGAAAATATGTAATCATTTAAATGAAGAAATTGAATGTTTCGTGTGCCAAGATTATCTGGTTCGTTACTTTTAAGTAGAAAAAAAATTTGACTGCCTTAAAATAAAAGAGATTACAAGAATTGTTATAAGAAAATTATTTGAGCAATTAAATATGAAGTGCCACCAGAATATGGTTCACAAGAAGATCTTATTATTAAATTAAGGCTAAAAATTTTGAGCTATTAACTGAAATTAAGTATAAAGTTCGCATCTTTTTAAATGCTAAAGATTTATCATTCAAATAAGTTTTTATTATCAATGAAGTTTTTTTTATATATAAATAACATTGTCTATTATAAACCCTTTGAAGTCAAATCTAAGTGATAACATTGAAGGAAAGCTATTAATAGATAAGATTTTCACTAATAAGGTTTCTTAAGAGCAAATTAAAAACTGCCTCAATTAGTAACCCTTAAAAAGCAAAACCGTGAGGAATCCACAATGAGAAATGAATAGTTGATGGGGCCTTACTGAAATAATTTTGTAAAAGAAAGTCATTGAATAGGTCTCCATTTAAAGACCTAAGTAAGCATAATTCTTAGAAAGTACTTGTACATTAAAAATATCTTAGAAGGCATAAGCCTTCTGAGATACAAGTATATTAAAAAAAGTTACGAGGTATAAGCACAAGAATGCCTTCTGAGATACATGTATATTAAAAAAAGTTACGAGGTATAAGCACAAGAATGTACACATATTTTTAATAAAAAATCACATAAGAGATACCATAAAATAACAAGTGTACTAAAAAAAATATATCTATAAGCTTCAGAATGCATAAATAGATCAAAAAAATTATATGGTTAAGAGCTTAAGAATGCATAGATACATAAAAAAAATCTTAGAGCACTATAAGTTATATAATTTTTATGTACACTCAAAATTTTCAGAAGGCTATAAGCCTTACAAGCTATAGGTACACTCATAATTCTCAGAATGCTAAAATTCTTACTAGATATAGGTGAAATAAAAAAATCTTAGAAAGCTAAAATTATAGATAGTATAGATATACTCCAAAACTTTAAATTGCTACAAGACGCAGAAAATATAAATATATATAAAAATATTAAAAAGGATAAGCCTCTACATGTACATATTTTCTAAGAAAAAATCCTTAAAAAATAAAAGCTTATTATGTAAAACTTCAAGAGTCGCCAATCTTAGAATACACACAGAGAGAGAGAGAGAGAGAGAGAGAGAGAGAGAGAGAGAGAGAGAGAGAGAGAGATATATATATATATATATATCTAAAGAGTACATGCTAATCTTGATTGCATGATAATGCTTTCTATTCTTAGTAAGTGCAATGTTCCCATAAGAAACAAAATAATTTAAGTGTAATATATTAGATTTCTACTAAGACTTACGTTTTAAAAATATATAATAGTTTAGTCTTATCTGAGAGAAATTTATTGAAAATCAAGACCCTCACTTAAATATTGAGTGTCCATTATTAGCATTATATTCAACATATTAATCTTGATTTTTTGTCAAGCTTAATTATTTAAACAAAAAAATGAATATGCTTTCGTGGGTTATATGAAGATTACTATGACACCTGAGAGTGAGGGTGAATTGGGTGTGCAAAAAAATTTCAAATTTAAACCTTTATTTTGTTTTTTGTATAAAATTTATGTTTCAAATTATTTGAGTTATTAGAGCTACAAAAATAAGCACCAAACACAAATAAAAAAATTTTACGTGGTTCGGCCCCAGGTTTACATCTACACCTAACCATCTTTGTTAGTTAGGATCCACAAATCTCGCTAACAAAATTTACTCTTCCTCGACAAGTACAAAATCTTTACATCATGTCATCAGTACATTTCTTACCCTGATGATAAGTACCACAGCACATAAGCATTCTTCCTCTCACGAAGAACAAGTACACCAACTCACTAATACTTTTCTCACACAGAGAATAAGTATCACTCCTCAATACAATAAGAAAGAAAGAAGATATAAAGATTATCTCTCACAAGAGATCACACACTTGTTGATTCATAATGTTCAATCAAGTTAAAGTGACAAATGAAAAGTATTTACCACACAATAATTTTATTTTAAATAAAATGGAATTTTTTGTTAAAACTAATTTTAAATTAATTCATGGAGTTAAAGATCTAATATATTAAAATAACAAAAAATATAAGCTTAATCCACCACCAAAATCTTATGAATAGTTAAAACAAAATGAAAGGATCTTACTTTACTAATTCATTTCACCATTACATGCACAAACATTCATTATTCATGTCATTATTCATTATTCAT